TACCCATCCACCCCCCACCATACCCACCCTCCAACCATACCCATCCACCCCCCACCATACCCACCCTCCAACCATATCTACCGTACCCCTAAGGGTCTCATCCAGTACATGTATGTAGGCCTAAATACCATTCCTCTCTTTCATTTGCAAGGCAATGTAAAAAAAACTGTTTATTCCTAGCAGACATTTGAAGCTGATCTCGCCTCCGCGCTATCTGAGTCCATGTTTTTCCATTCTACTCAATCATTTGTACTTGTCTGCCAGTGCTTGCTAGTTAGCAGGGGAAAAAATTGAACTTTTGCCCGGTCAGTGTAGGCTGTGATGTTTGCCCCGGCGTCTGGGTTGGAATCCTTAAAGGATTGATTACTATACCATTTCCTGTCATCAAAGTAAATGACTTCCCCTGACTGATACCGGGATAAGGTTGATGCACCCAGCCCCTCCCCCGTCACCTTTGATTTCAAGTTTGAGAACTTGATCATCTTATCAATGAAAAGGAAAAAAACAAACAAATGGAATGCTGGTATGCTCATTATCAGGCGCATGTGGACTTTCGTTGTTGGAAGTTGATTCCAGTCACTTAGCAAGAGGGAAAGTCCTTGTAGTTTTGCCAGTTATAATGTACATTGTAGAAGCCCAAAGAACTGATGCTATGATGAGTTGAAACAGGCACATGTAGAATTCCATTTTTGTATGTGAAATTATGGTGGAAAATTTATGATTTTTCCCGTTTAAGGTAGTCAACATTTTTTCCTCTTCAAAAGCGGAACATTGATACAGTACTGTTTTTACTCAGCTGTTGTTTACAGACTTGTACTTTGTCCCAATTCTCAACCAGTTTCCTCTGGTTTTATCTTTTTAGCCCCTTTTCTCTAGATTCCTTTAACAGAGGCTGTACATGTTCTATATCGTAACTTACATATACTTGTAATTGTATGGTTTGCAGCCCAGAAACTCACTGCTCTCCTGAGTGTTACCTTCTTTTTGGCGTGGTTTACAAACAATGGCTTGGCTACAAACAATCTAGCAGGACTTACCCTACTGCTGCCACGCAAATTCAGCAGAAAGACATCAGACCATGATTGGAAAGTTGAACTACAGTGTACATGTACATGGTAGATTTACCCTGGACCGTCTGACTTGGAGAATGGGGCCACTGGGTAACACACTGTGTGCACTTTCTATCGTCAAGCATCACTTTGTCCACTTAAGTTGTGAATTCAGCCCCTGCTGAACCCAACCTGGTGTTTTGAAACTTTGAAGGTCACTTATTGTGAGAGAATAATAGGCCAGTGATGTATGTAGGCTAGCGTACATGTAGGTGCTCTCACAATGGGATTCTTTGGTGATTTGGAAACAAAATGTACAGTCAACTGACCGCAATTGGTTTCTGGAAGGAATTGGAGGGAGAAATAAAAAGGACTGAGGCTTTATGAATAGCTATGTATGTATGTAGCAACCCTGTCTTCACTTGATGTGTAATCGTGTACATGTAGATGATCCAGTCCTTGTTGGTGTTGGAGGAAGAGATGTACCATACATGTACATGCAATGAGTTCATCAGTCATTTTATAAGTTTGAATAAATTTGATAAAATCTTGTGTCATTTCTGACAATAACAAGCCAGAGATGCCTTTTGATGACCTTTATTTGCCATGCTTGTGTACAACTAAGCTACAGTACAACTATCAGTTCAGTGTTTATGGTAATGCTTTGCACAATGGGGTTAATAGGGTAAGATTTGTGCCATAATCTTTTTATACATGTCCTACATGTGTATGCTGTTGACCTTAAGGTCACAGTAACGAGGTAGTCAGGGGAGTTAGGTGGACGTCATGCTTCTTGTTTTGTCTTCAACCTCTGTGGTCTGGGTTCGATTCCCAGTTTGTCCACCTGTGGAATAGGTTTTCAGTGCCTAGCTGATTCTGTGGGTTTTACCCAGAAGATTCTGCAAGGGTTTTCTTCCCATCTACAAACTGTAACATCTCATTGTCTCCTGTCTACAGATTTCTTCAGGCTTACAAGCTACAGTACTGATTCCTTGTGCCTAATTTCTATGTACTGCCATTCTGTTTTGTTTTGATTTTGTCAATCTGCACCAAAAATTCTTCTTTTTGTCTAGTAATGCAATTGTTAACTGCCATTCAACAAAGATTTCTGAAAATGAAAACCAAATCAAGCATCCTCACTCTACATGTATTTTTTTGCCAAAATGAAGAGCACAACTCCCCCCCCCCCAATCTATTCAACATCATTTTCTTCAGTGTAATGATAAATACACTGTACTTCTTACTATCCAGGTGTACGGACATGTACATATATGCATTTTCAGGCAAATGTGCATAATTGTTACCTGTAGCTGTACATTCTATGGAGACACTTGATGAACGATGTACATGTACGTGTAACTGCATTCAACCATCTTCAGAAATTGATATTATCATTGCTTTCTTGATAGGTATGCAAAGGTCGTTGGCTTAAAAGCCCCAAAAGGTTCTGAAACACTCGTCGAAATAGCAGTATGGAACTCAGAAAAAAAATGTGAAAACTAGAAAAGTGTTTTCAAAAGACAGAGTTAAGATCAAGATATCCCATTACCTGGCCTTTTCGAGGATTTCATCCAATGAGAAGCATATTGATTGGAGCCGAGCCTGTATGTAAAAATCAATACACGTATGTAATTGTTGACAAACTACGTCATGTTTGTGTAGTGTGTATGATGTGTCGCTTGAGTACACTCTCTCAAAGGCAATTATACTTTCACTGAATTGATTTTTGGACAGCTACCAATGCCACCTGGATTAGACTTTTTGGAGTGTGAATAGCGCGATCTACTTTTGTATAGTGTCCATTAACTGAAAAAAGTATATGCATCAAGAGCACTTTGTTATTGACTATTATGAAAAATGAGCGATGAGGTTCAAGTAAATCAGAAGGCCAGTACATGTACATGTTGTTGACAATTACATATACAGTGAAAATACCATTTTTGAAATTAGTCACCCAGAGACTGAAATAAATTGACGCAGCTGGAGTGGAATTGTTGAATTCTAGCCAAGAGACTATAAACCTTCTGTGTTCATTAAAATAATTGAAATACGTGTATTATTTTGAACAAGTACTTGTATGTGCTGTTTATATCAAGACGTGTTTGTAAAAATAATTAGAATTACAAGATACAGAATATATTTAGCAACAAAGAAATAATTTCAAATCTATGTACTCATTTTAATACAAGATACACATTACTTTTTACCCGTTAGTTTTGGGCCATTTTTCTTTCCTAATAATTTTTCTCTTTTCTTTGAATGTTTTGGCAAAATTCCAGTGCCGGCACTTTACAGACATTGTTGAAGACTGCACATGTGCAAGTGAATTTACCAAGACTGACTCCTCATCAAGTTATAAAGAAGACTGAAGCCCTCAACTCTGATGAAATGAGCCCAAGAGACCTCTCTGAGACGTACTTGGTCAAGTTGAAGAACGCCACCCCGGAATTCAGCTTTAGACGCAATGATTTCTTCTCTCCCTCAGTATGGCAACAATTGAGGATTTCAATATCGCATTACAAATCAAAATGAGCCACATTGGAAGATTAAATTTGTTGTGTTTAGTAAAGCTTTTTACATTTGGGTGTGTCTTAACAAGCCGTGTTTGAATTTTGGTTTTTTTAAGCATGAAACAATAAGATTTATTGGTGTAAAGTTTTAGTCAGTTAAGAAACTTTCTGATGTGAATGGTTAGCATTGGCCAGTCTTAGCTTTAATTTGGTTAAGCTAGTCATCAGCGTCCGTCTTCCTAGGTTTCTTATTATTCGAAATGCAATTCAGTGTAACAAAGAGATGGTTTATTTCAGTAAATAAAATACCTTGAACAACTAGCTGACTAGTCCATCAATCCCAACAAAAAGTGTGAAACATTTTCATGCCCAAGTTAGTTAAACCTGACGGGTCAGGTTTGGAGTTCTTGCAAAATGTGTTTTTCTTCACCACACATTGTAATTGTGGCACCAGCTACATGTGTTTCCTGGTACCCTGCATTTCAGTGCTAACCCCTTGTTAATTTTTTTCATTTTCTGATGCTAGAAATGTCCCAAGTCTCTCCAAAAGAACCTGAGTGCCAACTCTTGGACTTCAAAATTGTTCCACCCAGAGATTAAACAGTTGCTGACCAGCACTAGTATCAGCAAGGCAGAGTACCAGCGACTTGTCAAATATTGGATGCCATTTGGTTTCAAGTATCATAAGAACTTCACCTATGAAGGTGAGGTTCCAGCCCAGTAGGTGAATTGAAGGGGTCAGTAATTTATGGATCCCAGGCTAGCAAAGCAGGGCCAGGCTGTGAGCATTCCAGGACGTTCTCTCAGGTCCCAGGCCAGTACATAAATGTATGACAGTGTATGTAGTTAGTCTTAGATCCTTGGTCAGTTGGCTCATGTCTGAGGACAGTTTGGCTCATGTCTGAGGACAGTTATGGGCTTCGGGTTAAACATGTACATACGGTTCAAAGTCCCACAGCAATGAGGTACAGCAGATACAAGACAGGGCCAGTAGGCTCAGGTCCCAGGCCAGAATGCTCTGATCCCAGGCCAATAGGTTCAGGTCCTAGACCAGTAGTCAGGTCCAGGTCAGCTGGCCAATGGACCAGGTCATCAAACCCAGGTTTTGGTCCCAAACTAATTGGATCCAGTCCAGCAGGCTCAGTCAAGTCATAGGCCATATGATACCTGTTTATAGTTGGTCTCCAGCCTCTTGTAGGTGCCCAGCTGGAAGGCTTCAAATGCCAAAACAATGAACAGAGGCCGGTCTAGGGCCAGTAGACTTATGTAGGGACCTTGCCAGTATGCTCAGACCCCTTGCAGGGCAAGGTCACAGGTGCTTGAAGGAGCCCCACCTTGAGCAGAAGCACCCCCATTGTTTGAAAATAGCCATATAGCTGAGGAGTGTCCATTTGGTTGGTAGCCATGCCACCACAACGGTTGCATTTCATAGTCGGTCGTGAACCAGTGAAGTGCAGTTCCCACTAGAGCCTCTGCTGTTAGAAAAATTACAGCCTCCCTTGGTCCTGCTTGGGGCGCCTCAGGCCATCAAGCAGTTAAGTGCCCAAATAAATAGCAGTAGCTGGCCTAATTTGCATTCAACCTTGTTTAGTGAGGCTAGTTTGTTGAGTATTGGGAATCAATATGTGAGGGTATGTAGGATCTTAAGTTCCGTTTAACTTGCAGGTGTACAGTAAGGGTGGAATCAGGTACATGTATGATCAAAAAGATACAAGTTAACCAATGGTCGTTTTTGTAGGCCTATATGCATACTGTCCTCAATCACAGATAACAACTACCATCCACCTGTACCAGTTTTCCTCTTTATCTTGAATTGGCAGAGCTTACAGAGGTACTCCGCCTGTTCCCTAAAGCCAATTCCATCTTTGACTACACACGATGGAAGGTCCAACCCGAATGTATTTCCTGTGCGGTGGTTGGTAATGGAGGCATTCTGCGTGGTTCAGGCATGGGCAAGGAGATCGATGGGCATGATATGGTGTTCAGGTGAGCTACAGGCTGGGGGTTTCTCCCAGTTCCATCTGGCTGGAACTGGATGGAACTAGTTAGAACCAGTTTATTGCTTGGATCCACTTCCTGCAAAAATGAATTGCAAGTCCAACTTTGCCTCACGTATCCGTTCCGAGCGGAACAAAAGAGGCGTGCTCCTCGCACTCACTGCATAGACGCGCCTTTATAATGGAGATCAGTGGCACGTTTGACACAGAGCACACTGAGTATGCGTAACAAATTTATTCCTTCATGTATGGTCTTTGCGTACACGCAGAACGCGTGCAAGAACCCGCTTGGAAAACTTACAACCATCTGTCTTTCTTTTGCCGCTTGGGGGTGCACTTCAACTCAAGGCGTATATTCCCAGAGGGTGCAGAATATTAAACAATAGCCCCCAGTGAGGTGTTATTCCACATCATTATTTTTCTTACTCATACAGAATAAAAAAGATAAAAGGTTACTTTGTTTCAAAGAAGGTTTTCTGCAGCGAATCTTTGGAGGTGGTAAAAAGTTAATTATACAGTGACCAATTGGGATTGGAGAAGAACTTTATTTTCTTCATCTAAATACTCTGGAATCCTCATTTGCATTTGTTGATGATGCTTATTTACAGAGTCAATAACTGCATCAGACGTGGTTATGAAGAAGACGTCGGGAATCGAACCACCCACCTTGTACTGATGGACCGGTCTCTTCGCTTCACAAAGCGTGAAGACATCCCAAGGGATGAGGTAATTAAGTGGAGGACTTAATTGTAGTGATTTGATAGTAGTAACTACAACAAAAGGCACAATACAGTGCCAGCAGTTGGGTTCAAACCTTGGCCTTCCGGATCATTCTTTACATCTATTCTCTAGGAATTCCTACAAGGCCACAAGCCCAGTTTGAACATCAAGCTCTTTTTATTACACATTCCTCCAATTAAGATCTTCCTCCTCATTTGACAACTAGGATTTGGGCATCAGTTTGCCCGTTACTGAATTTGAACCTTGGATCCTAGGATATAGTACACCCTGTTAGTCATTTTTGTGGTTGATATCTCACCACCCAGGGAATCAAGTACATCTTCATGCCATGTCGCGAGCAAGACTACAAGTACATCAGTCAAGCAGCAACCAGTAATAGTCCAAAGCTTCACCTGCATGTCAGTACATCCGATGTCAGGATATTGCATCCGGATTTCATCCGATACGTTCACAAAATGTAAGCAGGGAGATTACTCCTGAATGGGTGGGGTTTGGGAAGCAGTGAAGAGGAGGCGTGATATGTAGGTGCTTCTGTGTTTCCTCAAGCCTGCACTCAGATGTGGTTGGGTTCTGTTCATGTGAATGCACTCCTTTTATACACATTCTGATGAAATTTCCTGCATTTCTACCACTTAGATGAGAATGACAAAACCTTGTTGGAGAAGTTGTTGAAAATTTTAGCCAGGCATGCACATGTTGGAAGTTGAGGAAGATTCTACTTTTTTAGGTCTTTATAAGCATAAGTCACTTGTTTTGATTGCCTTGATTATTCATCTAAAAAAATGTGAATTTGTGAAGATAGATTTCTCGTCTTTTCTCTCAGCTGGGAAAACACCAAGTCATATCGGCCAACAACAGGTGGCATGATGTTCTTCACAGCACTTCATGCCGGCTGTGATTCAGTCAGCGTCTACGGTATGGGCTTCACAGGCCAATACTCAGAGCATTACTACGACAAAGAATTCAAGAAATACAAATCTGTCAAGGGCAGCCATGACTTTCAGAGGGAGGTGGAAATCTTGAAACACCTTGATCAAGATGAATTGATACGATGGTACAAGAGAGATGTAAAGGAATTCAATCAAAGGTAACCGTAAGAGCAAGCCTTCATTTTGCTGAATTTGCCTTATACGTGGTAGAAACTATTATTGTGGAATTTCTTTATTTCATCAGATATTCTCTGGTCTGTCTTTCATCTCGGTTCTTTGCATTATTTGATGCTTTGTCACAATACAATAATCATCTTATATTTCTAGACAAAAATGTGCCTTCAGCTTTTTACCTTCATGTATTTCTTAACTTTGGTGTTTTTTTTGGTCCGTCCCCCATGTAATTAATAAACAGATTATTATAATATTGTAATTCATGTAGCAGCTGAAATGGATTTTTATCAAAATTCAAGTTTAAAGTGTGACATTTTAATAGTTGATTTGAGACAGAGAATTTTTTCTTCAATTGGAAGTACTTATGCAACTTTAACCACTTGCTGCCAGGGGACCTGTTTCCAAGCACATAGGCTTTATGCACGAAGCCAGGAGCCCGAAACCGGGACAAAAGAGCTGGGCCTTGTAACAAAAGACCGTGCTGGACACAAAAGACTGAGCTGCGGGCATCAGTAGATTTTGTCTGTCAGGCTCAGTGGCCACCAGACAGTGATTCATGTGGGTGTTAACGTCCATGAATTGAAATGATGATTTTTTGAAAACTGACAATGTTGAAATTCGCCTGTATGTGTGCACTGCATTTTTCAAACCACCCGGCAGTGAGTGGTTAACCACTTGCTGCCGGGTGGTTTGAAAAATGCAGTGCACACAAACGGGACATTGTCAAGATTTTCAGTTTTCAGAATTCTTCAAAAATTCATCATTTCAATTAATGGATGTTTACACCCACACGAATGACTGTCTGGCGGCTACTCTAATCTGATAGACAAAATCTATTGATGCCCGAGTATTTCAGCCAGGTCTGCAGCCTTGTAAAAAGAGCCCAGATTGTGCGGTGTTATGTAACTTTCTTTTGTTCATGAACCTGGCTCAGTGCACTGCTGACCTCTTTTCAATAGGGGCCAGATTAGCGTGCAGCGGTGCTGTGTGGCTCATGGCTGTGGTGGTGGAGCACTTTTGGCCCTGGTGGTAATCTGCTCGCGCTAAATCTCCAAAACTGTGGTGTACTGTTTCAAAACAAGGCTGGATTATCTCCACTATTGAGAGTGAAAAAATGTTGATAATGCCCAGCAGCCTGGTCTTTTGTTACGATTACGGTCGTTTGTTACGAGGCTCAGTTCCCTTTGATTTCGGAGAGACCCTGGCCATGCGTATAAAGAATACGTGTCCGGTACCGGAAACCCCAGCGGCAAGTGGTTAAAAAGATCCTTGCACTGTGATGTTCCTGAAAGTCTAGGTACTTGTAGTCAGAAAAAAACAATAACATGATTTAAAGCTGAGATTATTGCGGAAATCAACTTAAGTGATTCCATACAAATTGTACATGCAGGCACATATGTGAACTCGAGTGTGCCAAACATTGAAGAGCACAATGTACAGGTGTATATTTGTGTTAGAATTGAACGAATCAATGATATATATTTTTTTGAAGTACAGTGAAAGAAAAGTAGTAATTTTGGCTTCTCTTCCTGAAGGGGGTCGGTTGTAGGGACATTTTCTAGAGCATTTTACCCTGTTATTCCTCAAAGTTCCATGCAACTTATTCTTCATGAGATCTTAACCACCTTGGATTTTATTTCTCCAGTACTTTTAAGTTTTATATTTATTTATTTGAAACTATCTTTAATGAGGGTAACCCATCCCGTGAAAGTTGATCATTCTGGGCCCTTCCAATAAGAAGACAACAAAGAAATGTTCAGTTTTAGAGGTGGGAGGAAAAACCTTGATCAATTTTTGTCTAGGGAAAATGCAGAGAATCAGGTTGGGACTGAAAAGCCAATCCACATAACATGCAGACCTGGATGGGATTCTGAACGGTATCCCAAGAGGTGGAAGGCGAGAGCCACAACCTGACCTGGAATCAGTTTGCGTTTTGTAAACTGCTCCAAACATCCGAAAGTGATCCATATTTTTTTGTGATTGTTGACTCTTGGCAAGGCTTGCTTAAGGATATTATTTCAGCATTGTGGATTGTGGCCTTTTTCCTGCGTCGTCGGTCTAAAAGTACCTTCTGTTGGTGTTATCTGTGCACATAGATTGCCACTACCGGGTGAAAGCCTGGCACCTCCTATGAAATCAGCTGTAAACCAGTCCCAATTGACAAGTCGTAGGCAATCCCACAGGAGGGCCATGATTCGCGAGACCCCCTACCAATTATACCGAAACGCTCCCGACTTGGTGAAGTTGAGACTCCGAGCTGGACTCTCCCGACACTGGTCTAATGACCGACGGTTGCGTGACGGTATAAAATTTGAAAACTTGTCAATTCCATTATCATGAGTCATTGTCGTGCGTCATCTGTTGAGACATTCTGCCCATTCGTCATTTTGCTAATCCTCACAAGAGCCTTATATAGCCGCATCCAGCATTAGATGCCAGTGTGTCAACTTGAAAAAAGTAATGCACAAACCCCTAAGGTAATCAAGGATGCACGCATGACATCTCCTATTAGGTTCTACTTGAATAGTCATACTCGGGACAAAAGATGGAATACGTAATGGAGGTCTTAATCATCCTGTGTTAAGCTTGTGTGGTCAAGTGCTATGTTTGCAGTAGTGTCCTATGGAGAGAGAGACCAGGTGCGGTGTGTCTTGTCAAATGCTGCTTGCAAATCTTGCAGGTCAGGTACAAAAAAAGAATAATTTATCAAATCTTAGGTACAGTTGGCAGATCTTCAGTGTCGTCTATTTTTCATTAATGTCAGTCAACCTGAAGTCAATTGCCAATGTCACGTCTTCATCATTACCCAAGGTATTTTCACTGAAGTCTTAAGCTCTCCAGACTTAGTTGGTCATTTACTATTCAGCCAGATCGAACAAGCCACCAAAAAAAAATTAAGCTCACCATTTCATTGAAAAGTGGCCCAAAAAACTCATCAAGCTACCATCCTGCTTTTCATGCTTTTCAGTTTGCAAATTAGGAAGGCACTGCAGTATGCAGAGAAACAGTACTTCAAAGTTTTCAGAGGTTTTCTTGTTTCCATCCATCCTTGTTTCCTACACTTGTACCAAAGCACAAATCACATTTGATATCAGTCTATTTAATCACATTCAACTCATTTGATTGGTTCATTACAGTTTTCTCAAAGTTTGCTTCTGACCAGCTCATTCAGTAACCTCGGCAGCTTAGTACTTTGGCTGTTACTGACACTTCACAGCATTAGTACTTAGGGTGTTTTTTTCACAGTGGTTCTGTCACTGCAGATATCTTCATGTGTAATGCGGGATGGAGAGTATAATACTTTATAATTTTGGAAATTGTTGTGTTTAATCTTTAAGATGACATTCCACTGTCTGGAGCATTTGGCTAGGTCATAAATGTAAATAGATTCCCATGAACCATGCAGTGATTGACCATAGCTGCTAAATCCTCCAAAACCCCAGATTTGTGCAGAATCCTGATGATTGACCCCAGCTCTCAAATCCTACCATTTGTAGCTATCCCAAATCCTACAAAATTCAACCACTCAGTGTTTCACTGTGTTGATTGATTCAGGACTATACAGGTCAGTCACTGCCTCCCCCCCCCACCGCCGCCGCCGCCGCCAGTGGTTTAACACAGTGCTGAATATTGCTGGATTAAGGAATAATCTTAGCCACAGATCATGGAGTCAGTTGGTACGAAATTGAAAGGGATATTTAAGGAAAATTAATATCTAGAAAATTCGAGTAAATGAGCCCTGTAACATTTCAAATAATGCCAAAATTGTAATAGAAATTCAGACTTAAAAGCTGACTCACTCATTTGCAGAGTGGAAAATCTATCCATGGAAAAGTGCAGTACTGTAGCAGTCTTTACAACCAAATGAACAAATCTATTTTACAATAAATACATTATGTAAATATAATCATATCATTGATTAATTATAGCTATTAATTATAGTTTTGGATTTGCAAACTTCTGCAGTGCACATCAGAATTTTACGTTATGATTTTCCTGTCGGTGTAAAACCATGTAAATTATTTTTTCTGCAGACAAAAGCTACTTTGATGTTGGAAACATTTGAAGATTGTCTTAATAAAGAGCTGTGAAACAAATGCGTGTGTATGGGGTGTTTGAGCTTCATTTCCTGACAGACTTGCTACATATGTGACAGAGATCCATACTCCATCTGTGTATCCTTTACCAAAAGCTGCTTACAGCTATGAAATATGCAGCCGTTCTGGCAAAATCTATACTGTTTGGAATTTTTTGACCCTAGTAACTTAAGTAAAAAAATTTACCCCCAAAACAGATTTGGTGGACATGTGAAATGTCCTCTATAAAAACCAAAATTTCTGGAAAGGCAACGTTAAAAGTGACGGTTTAGAATTTTTCAGTGTTCATTCGTTTGTGTGTAAGATGATGTCCTGCCATCTCGCCATGCTCAGAGCTGCATCATTAGCCGTCCACTGGTTCTCTACTGCATCCATCTCCTCCGCATATGAGCAGGTGGGCCATTGTCTGAACCTCACCACAGTCACACCTATCTGACTTTTGAGAAACCCCACTCACGAAGTAACGCCCTACAGCGTCCTACACAAGTGTGAAGGCAGTTTGGGGATTTTCGGGTGACATATGGTTGGTGGTGTCCTGGTGCTGTTTGCTTCATTGGTCTTTTTGGCTGGGGAAGATGGCTGGAGTGCCATAAAGCAGTACGTGCCTGCTTTTAAGCCACTTTTGTACTCGCTGGTGGTTGTGCAGTGGATGTTGCGGGTCAAGTGTGGTCTTGTAGCATTCAACGGAAGTTGCTTTTTTGAATCTTTGAGATGGGGTCTCTGTACTGATCCTCAACTCTGGTTGGTTTCAGGCATTCCATGATTATTTTGCAAGTTGCATTCAATGCACTATCCACCTATTTTCAGTGTATTTATCTGCATTCTGGGGTCGTTAAATTAAAACGCAATTCCTTAAAGCATTTTTTAAACTTGATATTTTACAATTTGGGGAGGAAATGAACCTTTTTAGAATCTGCCATTGCAACACACAAGAAAGACACATTTCATTTGAGCTTCAGTTAACATTCTTCATACAGTTTATAAATATGCTTGTAATAATGACATGGATCATTTCAAGTAAGTACAATGATAACACTAGGTAGCTTCCACATGTCTACACTACAGTAAGAATACCTACTGTTAACAGGAAAGTAAATGTAAATCTAACAAGGTATGAAATCAAAAGTCTACAGGTGTAGTTGGGAATGAAAATACCTGATCAACACCAAGTCTCAACTTCTGGAATATACCACAACTGAGGAATTATTTCCAGACATTTACAGAAATTATTTGCATTTGTTTGAGGTTTTTAAATACCTGAATCCCAGACGTATCACAAATTAATCCCATATCAAGTTAAAGTGTTCTTTCTCGAGAGGATATCGTTCGTAACCAGTGTGTCAGCTATCCTTGATCAACAACTTGAGCTGCAACTGTGTTGCAACAGGTTCTTACAAATGTATACAGATGTCTCAAGTCCAACTGCATGGAACTGCACAGAACTGCTTAGCAAATGTACAAAAGTTTTGACAAAAGCTGGCTGACAGTTACTTGTCGGAGGTACTGCACGCTCACTGTTTGCTATTTGGACTGGTAATGGTGACAGGTCCATGAATTGGGGGCCTAGTTGATAGCCAGAGACTGGTTGGAGCATGCTTTGAAGAATAAACTACCAACCCCCAAAAGATACAACATGGCTGTTCGGTTCGGTCAGCGACACTTATTGCAGGTCTGTATTAGATTCAAATTGCTAATGCTGACATGGAATCACTTTATTTTTACATCGGGATCCAATGAAATGGATTACGCTAGCATGGCTCACATTATTTTCTGGTTTAAAATCTACAAAATTTGATAAAGAGTATGTGAAAAAAAAGCAACCTGTCATACACTTTGTATCTGTTGTTTTTACATGCACAAATGCCCTTTGAGTTCTACTATACAATGCTACAGTACTTAAATTTACATATCTCCCAAGACCGACTTTCAAACACCGACTGTTTGTATAACACTAAAAGTGGTAATATCTATGGAATTCTTTTCCCCTCATGTCTGCAGAAATATGCACCACCAGAGGTAGTGATATTCCGAAATGGTTTCATGTCAACATTACAAGAACAAGGCCCAATTGTTCTGCATTAAGGACCGGTTCATAATTCCTCCAAAAGTGAATGCAAATTGTTGATGTCAGATCAAATATGTGCACTGCAGATTTGTACAAGTTGAACACATTTCAACTCGAGCGAAATTTTGCTGCAATTTTTCCCAACATCAAATTCCCTTCACTTCCACGTTCACCTGCGGTATAGACCGGCCTTTAGTCATGTCAACAAAACTCGCACAAAGTACTCTACTTGCAATACCAGTACTGACCTTTTTTTTGAACACACATTGAACCCACAGCAAACTGGCCACAATGGACATTTTGCTCAACCTTTGACCCTGGGTCAACACTTGTACTGGATGGATATATTAAAAGCACCCACAATGCTCTGCATTTCCTTCATAATCTGTGAAAGATTTACAGCCCTTATCCTTGATCTGTGGGTCTCAAGCTGGACCAAGCGAGGGTGCTATTTCCTCAGCAACAGAGGCTCCTCATATTGATTGCACATCGCTGGTTCAAGACTGACGAGGAAACGCAAGGGTTGCAGTCACATTGCTACCAAGAGAATGAATACTCCCGACCAACAGGGCTCTTTTCAACTGATGAGGGGGTGCTTCTGCTCGAAGCAGATGGGGTCAATGGTGGGTTCAAGTGTATTCTTGGACCAAATTTGTATTCAAAAGAGAAGAAACTTGTGTACACACTTGCAGTTTCAAGGCACGTTCAGTAAAGCAAGGCATTTTGGGGACAGTAACTGGCACTACGCTTGAAGTACATGTCCATAAAAAGTACTCCATTAAATGCTAGCAATATTTTGGACATGGATACAGGAAAGTTAAATTACAAATAGTAAAATTACATCAAATATAAAAATCTTGAAATGATGTGTACTGCTGTTGTAAATAAAGTTGTATAGATTGGATGGAACAATCTAATTGCCATCTAAACATTTCATAATTTAAAGCCATAGCAAGGATTTTCTATATATTAGCAATTTTCTCTGAAACCTGTTAGACAAAAGTACATGTAGCGATCGCTAAAGACTAATGGGAAGACACTCAGGAAAATGACTTGTACAAATAAATAACTGGTCATGGTACAGACTGACAGCTTTAAAGTGCTAGTTTATCATTCATTTCTTCACTTTGCCACTAAAGCCACACGGCAACATCATGAATGTGAAGCTAATTGAGGGTTGTTTCATTGAATCAAAGTAAATTCCATGGTCTATATCTCACCAAGGCATAGATTCATCTATCGCTGCTCTTCAATGGGTGTGGTTACTGCTCTCTCAGCATTGGATTCAACTTGCATCCATGTCAGACAGGTTGGAAGTAAAGCTGGTGGTCTAGTAACGGCCTCAATGTACAGTGGATAGAGTATCAGCCTGCACTCCATCATGAAGCCTAGTCTGCATCTTGCCATTTGTATACAAGTAAAATGCAGGGCTGGAGGTTTGTTCTTGAAAGGGCAAGGCAATTTCTCCTTTGCAAAGGGAACTTTCATTAGAAAGTCAACATGTCTATGGGGACATTGCAATGGACATTGAGGCAAAGACCAAGGCCATCAAGGCAACTGCCTCCGATGCCTCTGTGAAATTCCTGCCCTGAAAATGTTTGTCACCACTTGCAACACATCAAGTTTACCTAGCGCTTTGAATTACACCGCAGTCTGATAAATCTTGCTTTGCTTCAGTTTGGACTGGATATTTCTACCTGAGTGCAAACACAATGAACTTTAAAACATCTTGGCCAAAATCACAGAGCTACTGGAACCTTGCAGAAAAAAACGACACCACTACCGGTATGGTCTTGCTGGGCAAAACACCAGCAGCGTACTATCCAAAGCAATTCTTGCTGGTACCCTGCTGTTGCTAAGCAACCCTCTTGTGCACTAAGCCAATATGCATACTTACATGTAGCTTAGCAGTTCTACGACACTGGCACCAAGTTTTTATATGAAAGACAATGAGATATGTACATGTGCATGCACAGTGACTCTTCTTTTTTGAAAATAGATGGTATAATGGATAGTACTATAAGCTAATACATAATGTGGCTTCGACACTAAAAATACCTAACGGTGACTTGAATTGGAACTGTCAGAAACCTTCAAGAATTTACAAAATATGAAAAAAAATTGCTTTATAGAGTGCAAGGCAATTATTACTTCTTGCCATGAAAGCTTTACAAAAGTTCAGTCTCCGTTTTAAAAATGAGACACAGCTTGTTGACATTTCAGCATACTTTGGCCCTATGTAAGGCAACTGTTTTCAAGGTTATGCGGTACAAAAATACGGAGCAAATAGCTGAGTGCCACCTTAGACAATCTGGTGGAACTGAGGGGGGAGAATGAGACGGTACTGCTGTCGAGTCCTTCCCTGGGGTCTTAGAGATCATTTCTTGCAGTGATTTTGTTTTGCATCAGAGATAACAAAGAGTTCTGTTTTGACGTATCAAACGGTTTAGCATCTTGATTAAAACAGACATTTTTTGTGGATGATGAATGTTGAAGAATCTGGCCGGTTTATAACGTGCACTATTCTCTTGAAGGCCTTTGACTTGAGGTAGCTCGGGTGATTTGTGACTCAATATGTTGGTTTGAGGCATGAGCTCCACCTTGCATTTGAGTACACTGAGAAACACCCAGAAGGACTCGACAGCAACAGTGGAAGATGCACACACACACACACACTGTGAGTATCTTGGTAGGAGTGGGTGAGTTTAGCCGGTATTATGTCTTAGGAAGAGAACTGGTCTGCTTGAGACGGACTTTCATGAATTCAGGTTTCTTCTCTTCCTCTATAGCTTCTTGCGCCTTCATCTTAGCCAGACGCTGTTCTCGTTCCTCTTCCTGAGCAAACACAAGATCAAAATGAAACCCCAAAACCATTAAGGTGTTGGGTTTAACAAAAGAAAACAAGGTACAGTAAGAAAAAGTGGTTAGAAATTTATGGTACAATAATATTTGCTTTTTCAGAGTGTCAGGATCAGTCAGAATATTACAGCAGCTTTGTCAAAGACTCTTATGGCGATTTTGAATTGAGACAGAACTGTTTCTCAGTTTTAGTAATTCCTGACTTCCATTTTCTGGGTTTAGGGCATTTCTTATGTGGGTAGCCAATGTAATGTGGGTACCAGTGGTTTTGAAAAGGGCATCTGTCCTGAAATTATGATATTGTGTCTCCTATATAGCTGGTCTACAGGTACTTTTCTCTACTGGAATCCCTGATCACATGACACATACAAATTTCATGGCTTCCAACTAATACTCTTAAAACACATCTTGCTGATAAATATGGAAACTGTCACCATGGATACATGTAACTCACATGGTAGGCCACATGTATGGTAACAGTATACCACAGGTCAGAGGATTAAATCCAGCTCTACCTCACAGGCACCTATTGGATGGTAGGATACAAACCTTCAACACCAAGAACCGTAACCTGGTTCCCACAGGCCGCAAGACTCCAGGGAAGGAAGGTGAGAGGAGTGTCTTACCTGTTGTTCCTTCTCTTTCCGTTCCAGTAGCTTGATCTCCATGCTGGTACGTCTGGATTTAGCTTCTTCCTCCTGCTCTCGTCTCTTCTGCTCCATTCTCCGCTCGCGATTGACCACAGAGAGCTCTGACTTCTGAGGCAAAGGTCCTCCTGTTTTATAGCTAAAGAGAAATATGACAAACCCAAGATGGCTGCTATATTTGCAGAGTGTACATGAGGTTAAAGGCACACAGTTTTTGCTGAGAGTGTGCATGTTCTCGGTCCTCTACAGTTAACCCACATGAACACAAAGTGGAAATCTACTCTGTTTTAATTTTTTCCCCAGGAACATGCCTTTATCTTTCTAAAATCCTCCAATTTACGCAGGATCCTTGTGGCACATTTTTTGGCACTCGAACTTTCAATCGAGCTTTCACATGCCTTGTCAGGTAGCACAGACTGGTATCCTACCAAATCCTATAAAACATCTTGATGGATTTTGAAGGGTCAGAGGGTGTTTACAGCACTGTCACTCCAGGCAACTAAAGTTCACGGAACTGTTCTGAGCATTATCCCCCCTCCAAAAAAAAAAAAAAACACCAAGAAACTTGAAAAAAAACAACAACTTGAATTCCATGTCATTTTCTGAGCATTTCTGATCAACTGAATTGGAAAGCAACCTGTTCCCATTGTGTACCACCAGCAGACAACAACTTCAGTCGCCTCCAATTTCTCTAGAAAACAAGCCCAGTGACTTGACCTTACACAGTAGGTCAGTTTAATACACCAGTACCACTCATGAATATTCAAGTCCTAACCTTAGCCTCAGTTCCCTGTGCATCTGTCGATGTTCTTTGGATTCCTTGACTGGGTTGGGGAGAGGTTTTGGCTTGATCAATAACGAGTCGTCCTCCTCTGAGGACAAGGAGGAATACCGCCCTGAAGAATTCACTGCTGAAGAAAAATTCACAAATGGACTTCAGGAAAATCATAAAAAGGAGGGCCATGTTTACCGTCACTTGACAAAATCTTTCTTCTGGTTGGGAAAAAAGAGGTCATGGTATTCGTAAGTTTGCTAACCAAAAACCTTTTATAGCCATGAGTCAAGCCTGTATACTTATCCAATGTTTTCTTCAATCCACCTGTTGATGAATGACTTACATGTAGAGCACCGTCTTTGAATGCTTGTACAAACCACTAATGGATTTATGCAGACTTTTTACATAAAGTACATCACAATGCAATGCAACATATCTCCATCACAGCGCACTACCGTGGGAGACTTTTAAGCAAATTGTTGTGGAATGCAACGCTAAACAGTTTATGCAATATGCATTATGGGAGTTACTGGTAGTGAAAACTGTCCCACAATGCCACACAAACCTTAAAGCGTTGGTGCGCCGACTGCTTGCTTGTTTCTACCACATTTTATAAGCAGCTTCTTTTATTGTCTATTTCATCGCAGTGACAAATGAACTAAAACTAAAAGGCGGACGATGCAAAGATGATGTAGGGTCATAACAGTAATTTAAACAATCTCAATTTGTAGAAACATCTTGAGCAACCAAAATGGCATCAATACCGTTTGTCCCTTTTTCCCTTACAAACCATGCCTGATCCCTAAAACCATCTGAATCTTCAAAGTATCACACAAGTAACGCACTCAGCCAGTCTTGTGTGTATTAGACCCAACCACGATGACAGCCTGGATGACCAGACCTTACAATGCCATACACCAAGAAGAAATCGCCAAGATGTTGCAAATATTTTTCTTCAAGTAGGGCACTTGGGAAAGAAGCACTCTGATGGCAACACCATTCACCTACAAGGGCCGACCACAAGTGTTCAGAGAGTTTGGTGAGACCTTGGCTGAACAATTCCAACTGAGATTCCTTTCAAGGATGATTTTATGAGATGTCTCCCCTACTGCCATCCTTAAATCACCTCTCACAGACTCACAATGAGAGAAATAAACCTCTTGACCTTTACTGGCACAGTGAAGATGACTCTTGAGTTTCAGTTCCACTTTTGTAAGGTCAATATTGAACAGGTGAAAGGTCCATTGAGTCTTTATAAAGCAAGGTATTGTTTCTTTAACACATGAATGCCATATTTTGAGCAACTTGCCGCAAGTTTGAAACATGGTGAAATGTATAACCTGCCAAAAAAACGTTTGACAGTCCAATCCAAATAGGAATACATGTAGAGGATGTAGTTTAAACAGCCACAGGAGTAAAATCAGATCGTTTGATTCAAATTATTGCAAAAACCGGGCTGAGGGGAAAAAATGAGACAAAGTCAGGAAGGAATAAGCCACAGAAAATACATCAAGACCAACACAAGATGAGGGGTCAAATACGACAAGCGTCCCTGATGAGCAAAAGTCAACCTCCTTAGCTACAGTATCTTTAAGAGGATGCACCTTTGGAAAAATCTAGAGACAATGTCAACCACACAGTAAAAATGATACATACCGGTCATTTGTGTTGAGGCATCAAATGATAAATTACTTACTTCCACTTTCTTGCTTTCGTTTTGAACTCAACCCGACACATGTGCATCCAGCATTCACAGCAATGTATGAAAAGACACACGCGCATCACTACTGTGCATATGAGAAGTGAACTTACGCTTGTGATGAAACGGCATGTCGTTTTTGTCCAAGGCTCCGTCTTCCAAGTCATAGTCGGGAGGAGGAGGACTGGCCATGGGGGGAGGTGACACTGAAAGTGGTGACAATGTGATGAGTGACAAATGAAACAATGGTGATTGACAGTGGCCTGTGAGTGCTGACGTTCAGTGTTGTTTACCTGAATTTTTATTAGTACAACTATAAAAGAAAACTAGAAATATCTTTGGTGGGTACATGTACATGTAACTACGTTGGTACAAACCACTTTTGGCGACAAGGAAAAGGACACACTGGACAGATTTCAGATCGCTGTTCCACTATCGCGAAGTTGGATCATTTGGTGGCCAATTTGGAACAACCCAATGAACCCAATTGGTGATTAAAAATTAAGGGTCCGAGTGCATTGTCTTCTGTTGTGGAGTAAACATGGTCTATTTTCCTTCCATGTTGTTGAATCCTAAACATTTGTTCCATGAAATATGTGTACACATCACAAGCAGGAAATACCAAAGAAAAATCTAAAAGCTTTCATATTGTGCAATCATTCACAAGTGTGCATGAATTTACAACCGGTAAAATTATCTTAATCGTTAAGACATTTTGAAAGTGACAAAGTGAGACTGAGACCGATATGGAAACCCTTCCACCGCATAGTTTACAATTCCTGGCTTAACAAAACTGAGTCAAAGGTTCTCCTGATAGGAATATCGTAGGATCTGTAATTAAACACATGACAGGCTTATATCACATTGGTAACCACGGTCATTATTTTTTGTAAAAGTACATGTGTAAACGAAGTTTCATAAGTCATAGCAATTAAGGGCCTTTGACAAACATTGCCATGACATTCAATACAAGCAAAATGCTTGGGGTTTACTCCACTCAAATCAACAAACTGACTACGGTGTACCTTCATTGATAACTGCAAAACCACACACTCTTCATGAACATCATTTGCTTTCAAGATATCAAATATATTAAACTACGATATCAACATTCGAAGTACAAAGTTACAACACATCATGTACAATACAAAATGACTGGACAGTACACAAGAAGTTGAAGAACAATACTGTAAACGGTGGCAGATTTGCAGACAATAGATTTGACAGATATTTATCTACGGTATCTACAGGCATTTGAGCAACAAGGTTATTACCTTGACACTGCAAACATTAGAAAATGTGGACTGAATGTGGTTAGTAGAGATTTCAGTCAGAGTGACAGCACACACCATAACGTGCAGAATACATCAGTGTACAATGTTCATGAACACAAACTGAGTGATTAGTCTTTGTGCTGTATGACGGATCACTACAAAGTGAATTTGTATGTGTACGATTACATGCTAAATACTAACAGCCACAACTACGGGTACATACATGTATTTGCAACAGAAGCATTACATTTCCACAAAAGTACTTTACATGAATGTGAAAACTATATTTGAAAAAACCTATGAGTGACATCAGTCTTGAAATTACTCTGTGGGAAGCAGTTTTTAGGTTATGGTAAGTACATGCATACATGTAAACTGGTGTATGTTTTGAGAGAATTTGAATAACCTCGAGTACAATGGCTTCATTCAAGCTCTGGAGATTTTCCAAGTTTGACTTTCTCAGAGTAAACCTTTCTCAGTTTGCATATGAAATACTCGGCACTGCTCAATAAAATTAAAGAAATGATGTGCTTGGCAAAGTTCTCCATTTCTAGTGTACATAAGCTGGGGACATGCCATCTCATATAAAGCAACATGCAAACATCACATGGTTTTTAATGGCTAACTACCAGTACAAAGCTCCCTCACTGTAATCACCAGGCCAAGTGGCAATTATCGTTACTTCCCATCCTTTCAAAAATTACACCAACATTTTAATCCCGTTATTTTCCCTTCTACATCTTGCACAAAGCTACAAAGTTAGAAGCGATAGCATTATCAGCAATTTCTCTGTGCCCACAACACTACAATTTGATCAAATGAAACTGCTACCCCCTTGTTTTGATTTCAAGTATTCCACATTCAGTTCCCTCTTACTTCAAACAACTTCTAAACTCATGTTTGCTTTCTTTTCTCCACTAGCATCAACACTAAAGCAAAGCATTTCCTCCTAACTCTAATCCCAAGCTTGTCTCATACTACATGTACATGTACATGCATAGATCTACGAGTAACATTAAGCACCACGCAACCAATCCCGATGCACATCAGAAGAGCAGGTGTGGATCTGAAAACAGTAACGCTGCACAAGACATGGTGGTGGGTCCAGAAACTCAACAGAGTGAGGATAGCATCTTTTTTCCGATCCCTTCCTCTCCTACCTCCAAGAGCTATCCCCGGTAGGACTTGAAAGTGTGACCTTATGTTTGTTAAAGGAGGTGTCCTAACCACTTTTACTCACTTCTGTCTTTGGCTGATTTCATAAAATCCCATTCAACATGGTAATCTGTAGCAAATTCAAAGGGCTATGACATTTTGTAACATCACATAGCACACCATCCTTTGTAAAAACAGTCAACCAAAACTTGTGAAATTACGCATTTTTGGGTTAGAACTGTGAAATGGCCATGCTAGACATGCCCTTCCAGGGTGTACATGTATCTAGGATTGCAAATTACCTTATGATGTCTTAAAAACAGACACTATCTTACAACCCTCCCACTCCTTGCATTTGGCCACACCCACCCACAGAGGCTGGACCCACCACTCTCCTCACGGTCTCCATGGTAACTGACTTACTGGTCTTGAGATACTCAGGGAGATCATCCTCCTCATCTTCCTTACATGTACTTTCCTTGGGAGGAAAAATGCCTGTCACAATGGGATGGGTCAGAAATAAGATACTACAAAGAAACCAAAGCCTGACGACACTAATATCAATGGGCATACACAGCACGTTATACTTTTCTGAGTTGTAGTTGAGTAAGTCGTGAGTCAAATCACAAGTCAGTCACAAGTAACTGAGAATGAGCAGTGATAAAAGAATGTCCTTGTATTCAGACATTGCCCATTGCTTGCCACCTGGGTGATTTGTGTTTGGCTTGTGACAGACTCATTACAACACCAAGACTTTCTTGTCAAATCTGAGAAGAAATTGGTGTGGTTAGATCTGTGTTGTGATTGGTCAATATGGCCACTTCAAACTGGACCACCACACGATGTCAGGTGACATAAGCTGATGGATCAGTTACATGTACCTACAAAAAAAGACAATTTTCTGAATGATGTTAATGAGAACGAATAGATTAGTGGTATTAATAAAAATGGTCCTGTATGTATAAACAGCACTTGTTAGTGTTTTATTAAAAGAGATGTATATGTAAAACTTTGCAGATGCTGGGCGTTAGGGGTGGGGGAAAGGGTGTTGGTTTCCACGGTAATGGAAAGAGGACATCCCAGCAGCCTTCACACTTACTGTAGTTTGGGGTGTGGTGGTGATGACTCATCATAGGAGGCTCACCAGCGTGGGGCCAGCTGTACTTCTTGTAAGGTGGGAGCTGATTGGGCGACATGGGTGGGGTGGGTAACGTAGGGGACACGGGAGAGTGGGTATCGGGGGAGCCCAGGGGATAACCCCTGTGTGTGTGCGAGCGTATGTGCTGCGGCGGTGGTGGTTTGTCTTGTGCCAGGCCCTCTAAACGAAGTGCTGTCTTAGGAGCTGACAAGGTTGCAAAGAAAAGAGATGCCGTTAAGCCTCCAGCCACCATAAATAAGTTTGGCTTGGCCCAAATAAAACAAGAAATCACACCAAGCAGAGCAGCAGCCTAGTGAGTAAAATGTTCACGAACATTTGGATAGAAGAGGACGAGGAGAAAGCTTTTACTTTTGAAGTGCCATCTGCTTCATAACAGATGAAAGCTATTGCCGAAAGAGCATTTTTATCTCTTTGAAATGCACGTGTCTGCAGTACATTTGTCTCTGACCAAGTTCTTAATCAGTTGCTTTGACCAAATTTTAAGTGTTTGAAATCAGAGCCTGGCATAACAACAATTTGTCTCCTTGCAAAAAGAGGAACCGAGCAGTGTTTTCAGACATGATTACATGCAGTTGCTGAAGAGAAAAAGAACCAAGGGAAATAAATGTATAAGGTACAAGTATGTATGAATAAACCTTGGAAGAACAGGGCTTTGTACAACAAACTGAAGCTTTCAGCTGAACCAAGAGGAAAAAGTATTGCAGCATGAAAAACTCATTCCCTTTTGTGCAAACTGTCTCATCACAGCAAACAAGAATCTTTGTGACTTTATACCACAACACTGCACACATAAGCTCACAGTGAAAAGAAAGCATAACAAGTTCTGTTTTTATTGCTGTATTGATGCAGTTTTGACCCAGCTTGAATAAAAAGAAACACTATAATGTACTTTGGATATCACCTGCATCTATATTTATCCCACATGATCTTTTTTTTTTCTCTCAGTTGGGAATTGATTTATTGACGCAGCCATGGCATGCACAGGTCGAATGCCACATCTGGGGGTAGGCATGTGACTTGTTTTTGCCAGTAACCCAAGCAGGTTTATGGGGGTCTGCTCAGAGGGCCATGTAAAAATAGCTTGAAACACCTGTTACCACACTCAGGGTAATGACAGTGAAAAAATATGATTGAGGTTACGAATTACAAGCATTAGACACTGTGTCTGAAATAAAATACATGTAAACCCAAACAGACACCAAACTGAGTTCACAGGGGAAAAAAAGATGGATAATTTTACAGCTGCCCTCATGTACCATAGTTGGAGATGTTTTTCCTATTTTCCCACTAAGAGTGCTATGGTTTATAAGAATAATTGACCACAACACTGACTTGTGTCAATGGCTAACGTCTGTAGCCTAAACTTGAGAAAAATGAGCATTCACACTATGTACATGTACTATTAACATTTGGAGAAAATCTGAAAAAAACTCCTTTGTCAAATGAATTTTGTGACACATGGGTCTGAGCTGAGCTCTCAAAGACTACTTAATGACCCCCCAAATTTATCCCTAAATTCACAGTGAATGCTCTAATGGTTTCACAATCAAGAACCAATCAGAACCACGTGCTGTGACTCAAAACAAACTCTGGTTGGGAGAAATGCGGCAACAGACTCTTGGTTTAATCTTTATACATGTTTATCAACTCAAAAATAAAGTTACCCAGCGTAATGTGGAGCAGGCCTGTTGCGGGGGGGGAGGCACACAGAGGGACCGCCCCCCAGCAATTACCTCCCCTATCAGCGAAAACCATGAGCATCAAAATTGTCTCCTTCTTGTAATGTGCTCCCCTCCTCCAAGCTGGTACCATGGCCCCCCTCCCAATGCAAGAAGCTGGTGATGGAGATGCTGTGGTGGTGTTCAAGCAATCAAATACTAGCGTGCGGTGATTGACAATCCAGGAAAAACTCAACATACATTACGATCAGAAAGTGCGGGCGGATCCAAGTACCGCCACTGTATATGGAGAAGTGAAATCTGTCTCTTTTGTTTGAATTTTTTTCAATGAATAGCATTAGTATGGAAGAGTTGGCCAAGCAGCAAGACAGGCAAAGATTTTTTAACTGGCAAGATTGGGTAATGAAGCAAGCCAAAGAGAAAAACTTCTTGAAGGGGGCCACTCCATTTTTCCATTCACATTTAGGCTTGCTTTTGTTCAGAAATGTCCGATAAAAACTTGAAACTAAACTATCCTATACTGCAGTTTGATTCCATCTTCAAATGCAGGTACGGGTAGATTTGTTGTCAAATCTTCTTGTGTAATACTTTCAAAAATGTCATGGTACCAGCCCACGTAAATTGAGAACTTTTACATTTAATAAATTCTTTTTCACACTGAAACAAATCTGAAAGTTATTGCAATTCTTCATGGCAACAACACCAAGGATTCCTCAAAAGTATACGTAAGTTGATGAAACCAAGACACAGGTGAAAATGAAATCTACAGAGAAAGATGAAGACAAGGCAACTGTCCAAACTAGTACCGTTTGCAAATTAATTCACTCCAGAGAGTGGGCTCTATTCGACAACTCTTGAACATCATTCTCTGTATTTTATAACACAGAACAGAAATATTCTCTCCATCTTTCATCTACAGTAACCTGGGTTCATGCCAATATATTTGTACGGTGCCTCTACATGCAGTTTGAGTTTTACTCATAATTCTTGTCTGCAAGAATATTTGGGGTCCTCTAAAAAGTGAACCTTCGTATCATTTTTGGTCCGCACCTTCTTTACAGCTTATAAGCTTCCGTGGTGCTTTTCAGGAAACCTTGATTAAAAAAACATTAATCATTAACAAAGCATTAGACAAGCATGAAGCCTCATTACAGGCAAAGCAACCCAACAAATAGCAATCCCAATAGAGATGATGATGGAAGTCCTTGTCCAAAACTTACTCTGTATCTTCTTGGGAGGTAACTTCTTGGGTTGGTCCTCCTCGTCGCTTGAGTCAAGCTCCACGCCAATGGCTTGACCAATCACATGCGCTGTGAGACATGAACGTCAGGTGAGGGATGGTGACATCCAATGGAATGGGATGTTTTGAACATAGTCAGTGCCCAATTCAATGACACTTTAAGGAAAACGTTTTAGCTAACCAGAGGAAGCATGTGCCACATGTGGTATTTTATTTCATGGCAACAGCGGCACAGGTGAATTAAGGATCTTGCATGCCAAGATCTTACTGTCGTGTCCATGTAATTCACTTTAATATACAACACTGCCTCTCTCCACAACTTCCTTGGATCTCACATAACTTAAACGAAACCCCCATGGTGCCATGAAATTGGGCCAACATGTACATGTAGGTGAGTGGTCAGGTGATGGGATGTGTGGTTTTTACGGTGCAATCAAACAGTGAACAATAAGCAGTGAAGGAATAAAATAAAAAGATAGCAATATCAAGAGGAAAATTAGCCACAAGTTGTGTCCAAATCAAGTGGCTGCAGCTAGGAATAGCACATGTCTATGGGAAGTGGCCAAAGCCATCAGTCAGTGGATTCCCATTGGCACACATTATTTCCAACCGCAGCCGTAACTTTAAGAAACAGCCATGCAATAGTCAATGCAGCCATGCATGCTTGTCTAGTTTCCCATTAATTATGGCATGCCATACAGTGAACCATCACAACATCATTTGCACCAGCCTTTGGAAGACCTGCTTACCAACACTCCCGCTGTCATGGAGGTGCGCCGGCTGGGCAATGTTTCAATAGACTATTAAAGAGCTGTATTGATGATGAGAACACCCTTGCTTTTAGGAATGTACAAAATAAAAATGTGAAGGATGATCTCTCCTTTTTCCTTTCCTTGTTAAAAGTACCATTCAAGAAGGGAAACTGAAGGGGCAGACAAGGGAAAAGGATCTCTTGTTGGAAAAATTCCAATCAGATCAAAATTAAATACTCTTTCCTATTTAGCCACTGTTCAAAGTCATCCGTGTCAATGAAAGTGCTGTATAACATTTGTAATTTCCCTTTAACTGACGTACAGATATGGAAATATCAACACTGCCCTTTTTTTAGTTGTTTATTTTAAATTTCACAGCAATGCCATGTTCAGTGTTTCCATGCACCATGTAAATGTATGACGTATGATTTTCCGAGACCAAAACCATGTTTGGTTTGGCCAGGCCAGCTTTTCTCCGCCTCAATCACAGACCTTTTTTTTTATATTTCAGTTCTCACAGCTGCTTGAAAACACAAAACTCGAAGACATGCTGTGCACATGTGATTTCAGTCCAGGTCACTATTGCACAATTGTCCCTGAATTGACAATACTGTTCTGCCCACAGGCCTAGGGTGAGAGATGTGGTAAAAATGATGGTTGGTGCCAGGTTTCATAATCAACCAGGAATTACATGTAACTGAACCTCACTTGTTGCATGTTGTGAAACAAACTGTCAGACAATTACCCTGTACATGTACCGATGGCTTTAAGAAATCAACAGAAATCTGTGTTAATTACGTTATCTGCGATCTAAATCACAGCATACCAAATAAGGATGTCAGTGAGGGTTTGAAATGTGCAACAAGTAACCAGTACATGATATCCATGACTGTTTGGAAAAGAAAAAGAGTACTTTTGCCCTGTTGTCAATGAGTGTTTGAAAAATGCAGCCAGCACAATATTGCCTTTGTACATGTATAGTAAATGTCATTAGATTGATTACTGTACTCGTAAGGCAAAAAACTTGGGAGAAGTATTTCGTCACCATAAAACTCATTAAGTGCATACTGGTATTAAACAAGCACGGGTACCGTACTAATGTACATTGTATATAAAAAAAATCCCAAAATAAAACACAAAACCAAACTAAAACTATAAATCCACCCTGAATGACAACACAAACCGGCTGCCGGGGGGCAGGGGGAATAGGACGCAAAATGCAGTAAAGGGATCAGAGTAGAGTTACCAACACATCCACTATAGACACTTCATTTCTTCCATACCATTAAGTCTTGACTACTCCACAACCTGTTTTTCCTGTGCGCATCAGCATGGCCTGAGGCTAGAACTGGATTGAAACTGTCCAATGTTTTTCAATAACAAGTTGAGGAAAACCCCCTTAGGGTGTATGTAAAATCACATTGAAATTGAAGGATTTGGGACGTTATGGATAGCTATTTTTTCAATCAAACAATTACCTACACGTTTATTCACATTTGTAAAATGCTTGGACTGGTGACAGTAAATTATAATCATTCAGAGAAACACAGCCACACGTAGCTGACTGGTCCCCTTCACACAGCCACATGTACGTAGCTGACTGGTCCCCTTCAC